ATTTTAAAATAATTAAAATATAAATGTTTGATGAATTTTTTTTAAAAAATAAAAACAGTAATAAAAATAGTACATCTCTGCGCAGTTTTAACTTATGAATTTTTCGTAATAGAAATATTCGTGAACAAACCTCGATATACAGTGAATAATTATCCAAACCTGATGACCGATAATTAGGATTAAAACATTTATGGGAACATCCAAACGAAGAGTTATCTTTATAATACCAATAATTTGTGCTAAAACGCCTATCGCTGATATTATATTACAAAACCAAAGTAGTTGATTGAACGACACATCGTGAGCTAATTCGAAAGCATTTAAACAATCACTGCCACCAGCTGTTAGCTAAAGTCGAATTATTTCAAAATTTATTAACAAATTTGTTGATAAGAATTCGAATTTAAGTCGAAGTATTTGCCTTCGATTGAAATCATTGCATTATGAGTCCGAAAGGAGCTAGAGGAGGCTTAGATAGATATGTCTGGCTAGGGGAGATTTTGAACGAGTAAGCTGTCCACAGTATAGCCTCGGCGGTGGTCAAAGAAGCGATCAGCCGACTTTCATCGTATTATCAGAAGAGAAGGAAGATTTTTAGAAAGGAAGCTTAATCGTGAGTGAAGTCAGTCAAACCAACAGTGGTACGAATTATTTGAAATATTATGGGTTCGATGGGAATGTGTTTTAAAGTTAAATCATGGTGAGAAATGGTCATTGATTAAGTAGAGATTCACCTCTAAATTTATATAGTACGTGGTTTCATTCATATAGTACGTTCAGGGCTGAAAGAAAGCCAATAAAATCAGAAATATTCTTGCCGCTGAAAGAAATGAAGGAAAGAAAAAAAAAATATACAACCAGCAGAAGCCATATATAGGGAAAGAATGGCACATTGGCTTAAAATTAATCTTAAACAAGATCTTGCAAAATTTTTCTTTGAGGCCAGGAAAACTTAAACCCATAAGCGATTATTAAACTGTCTTGATGAAATTCAACTAAGATTTCTCGAAGATCTTCCCACCTCAAATTTTGACTTCCAGATTTATGATCCTGATTTACAAGTGTGTAATGATTTAATGCCCGATTTTAAATACCTTGGGTAATACTCTAATACCAAATGGCTAGGCAAAAGATGATATTACAACTCGGATCACGGAAGCTGAAAATGAGTTCTTCCAGTTGACGAATGAAATTACCACAAAAACGAAAATCCTATCTTTATAACCGTGATTCATTCGATCTTGCCACATGGTTCTGATATGGCCAATGAAAGTGGAGGATATTAAGAAGTATCAACCTTTGACCACTCTTGTCTAAGATAGCCTGGACTGAAACGGTCAGGAAAGTTTTTGAACGCATAGAGGACCTAGCGATATATGGACTTAGACGATGGAAAAAGGAATGGCTTCTATAATTGTCGACGATGGCACCAGACCGCGCCGCTTGGAAGAATCTTACCCTAGTAGCCGTTGGAGCCAGCCTAGCCAATAATGGTGAGAGCTGTTAGAAGAAGGAGAACAAAAATGATTTAATGCATTCTGCACGAATAAAATTGAATACTGAATAAAATAAACATAGATGTAAAAAATGATTGTATTTGAATTTTTTATCAACTATTTATTTAATTCCTAAGAATCTTTCTTACAGCATCTTTCTTGCACCCATCTTTTTTGGTTAGGCACCAGTTGCTGGATAGAATCAGATAGAATCCCAGCAACATCTGGATTTGTCTTTTCATGGCAAATTGCCTAAGGTATTAACCGATGATGCTTGAAATGACAGTAACACAGCATTAAGAAGGGTGTTGGAATTGGAACATCGCTTCAGATATTTGCAACCACTGTTACGTGTTTTATCGATTTTGCGGCTGCCTTTAATTCAGTTGATAAGTGCTTTGAAGAATGATGGCATACGACTGTGTTGCAGAGAAGATCATTCGACTCATTAAAGGCATTTTGGGAGCGTACGTTGGCATAGGTCTTTGTATATGGGGAACTGACAGAATCTTTTGAAATAAGAATTGGCGTTCGTCAAGGTTGTATACTTTCTCCTACAATATTCAACTATGCGATAGACTGAATAATGGATAACACCGCTTGTCGGCACTCAAAAACTGTGTAAATCCAGAGTCCAGAGCATAGACCTTGAATACGGTGATGATCCTGTGATCCTTTTTGCTGACTCTGAGGACGATATGTTAAATAACATGTCAACGAATGCAGCGAGAATCGTACATAGGATCAATGTAAATAAAACAAAAGACTTTTCGTCTTATATGCAAAAAGCTGATAAAATGCTTTTTTTTATAAATTCATTGCTGGTTGAGGAAGTACTCGATTTTAGATACCTTTGGTTCACTTTAACACCAAATGGCCAGGCAAAAAACGATATTACAACCCGAATCACGGCAGCTAGAAATGTATTTTTCTAGTTGACGAAACTTTTATGGAGCGGTCGTAAAATCCTCATAAAAAACGAAAGTCCGCATCTATATAGCCGTGATTCGTACGATCTTGCCATATGGTTCTAAGACATGGTCAATGGTGGAGGATAATAAGTTAAGTAATAATAAGAAGATAATAAGTCTATCTTTGACCACTCTAAGGTACACTTTACGGGTCCGTTGAGCGGATAAAATATCACATGATCGCATCCATTTTCGTTCAACTACCATTTGCATAAGGTTATCACAGAGCGTCGCTTTCGCTGATTACGGCACGTTCTCCGTTATCCACCACAGAAGTTGACACATATTTCGTTACTTGCTGAACCATGTGATAAAAGGCGTCAAAAGCAAGGTGGGCCAATCAATATCTGAACTGATACAGTCAGAAAAGATTTAGGGACGTATAGGTGGACCAGCAATATATGGACTTAGGCGATGGAAAAAGGAATGGCTTCTATAACTGTCGACGATCGCGCCGCTTGGAAGCATCTTACCCTTGTAGCCGTTGGAACCAGCCTAACCAGTAATGGTTGTTAGAATATACCTCTTAACTTACCTTTTTCTAATAAATAATAATATGGAGACGAATATCTTTTAAATAATTCGAGAAATATCGATTTATTATAGTTAGTCATTTCTTGAGATTTTCTTCACTCATTACTGATTTTCACTATAGAATCTTTTGGAAATACAGGCACAGGCGATATCCCGAGGATCCCCCGGGCCTAACTTTTGCATGGTCCCACTTTCGTCGAGAGGTACGGAACCGTCGTTTTCGATCGAAGCAACCACTCCACCTCTCTCATTTACCTATCGAAACCTTTCTGATAAAAAATCAAGCAATTTAAAATCAAAAAACTACGTCTTGGACAGATTTCGACTTCAATCCTAAACTGCATATAATATACATAAGCGAATATACCTTGTTGAAAACCGTCGAATTTGTTGCGAAAGTTGAAATATCCATTCGTTTACACGAATTATTCTTACCGTAAACCTGTTCTAATTATTCAATTATTCAATATTTAGTGCTACTCGTGTATCTCAAAGCATTTCCGTGAGCATTTCAGAACTTTCAGAAAACCCACGGTTCTTTTATTTTGAGAAATCATTAAAAAATAACGAAAAAACTAAATAATTAAAAAATTATAACTGAACTGCAGTTATCGGAAATTTTGAACGAAATTAAAACATAGCGGAATGAGGAAAAAATAAATGAGAAACTAATGAGCTGCTGCCGATTTATTCTTCTGCCCACATTTATTATTTATTTCATTTTCGACTCGTTCATTAGCAAATTATTAATTAATTAAGCATTCAGTGTCGGTGCACTGTTAAATAATTCACCCATGCTCGGTGCGTCTTTTCGAGAATTGCAGAGAAAATGTGAGAAATTTTTATAACAATTTATTTGATCCTTCTATGTGCCGTATAAGTGAATTTTTTCGCAGCAATAATTTAAATTAAATAAATTATTCTTTTATTTAGAAGTTAATAAATCTTATAACGACAATCTCAATGATTAATTCACAAAATAAGTAATTAAAACGCTGAGAAATTCGACCGTAAATCCGACCATAATAGAATCCATCAAAACAATTCAAAAACTTATTAATCGAAAAAAGCTAATAAATAATTCGAAATTTCAAAAAATAATGCCAAATTTTCCTATGGTATGGTGCGCAATGTAAGAAAATTTTAAATTTCAAATAAATAATATTTGTTGAGAATATTTGCAGCACGGAAAATATAGAATAATAGCGATATGAAGAAATGTTCGATGTTCCCTCGTCTCTGTTAAGAATTAAAAATTTCGTTTAACAATGCATCAGAAAATAAATAAGACATCATGGATACAAAAAATGAAATCCAAAAAAGATGATTTGTCCAACTCTGAGATTTGACATGTAATTAGAGGGGACGAACATGCCTGGAACATATAAGGATTGAGTTCACACATCCCGAACCATGTCTCAAGCTTGAAAAAAATGACCGGGTCAATGTCAAATACTGCGCTGCCTTTATAAGATTTCATGTGTGCAAGTAACCTAGGAGTTTTTTCAATTCGGAGACGCCCATCATCGGAAAAAACGACCCTACCTCATAATTCCGACCACAAATTAACAATTCAGTTTCCAAAACAAAAGATTATTACTTCCTCTTTTCCTCTAAATGACAGGTAAATTTCATAAATATTAGGTAAGTCATCTTTTAAGGACGCCATTTACCATTTAGTGCAGTGCTATGTTCCGCAAATTTCTTTAAATTTTTATTTTTTAATTTTATTTCCTATTTCTTATTTTATAACACTTACTTAGCAAATTTGATGCTAATCAAATGCTCTTAATAAAGAAGTGAAACGTCGGCTATTTATTATTTTTATCGTTTTTATACAAATAAAACATGAAGAAAATAAGCATATTATTAAAAAATCTCGAAAGGACAGGATGAATAATAATATCATAACCATAATATCATGCGAATTTTTACAGAAATTATCTATGCAACAAATATCCTGTTAATTTAATCTCAATTACTATTTATTGGCCTAAGATCACGGCCGCTTAAAACCACGAACTGTGAGATCAAATACCATTTGTTCCGCTTTCTGTACATCATATTTCAAGACATCGTAACGTCTTCTTAATACATCGTTTTTAAGATTTAAAAGGCGGAAGTTTGTATCAATCAAAGTTACAAAATCGGCAATCTGCAAAATTTATGTTCTGAAATGTTTTGAATTATATATTTAAATACTCCGATATTTCGAAATATTTTTATAAAAGCCAACTAAATTAATTATTCAATACAACTTTATTTTAGCGAAAGTAAAAAGATAAAAATAAATGAAACCTGGAAGGGTTTCTTATTGTCGCCAGCGACGAATGCATTTACAGCGTATCGGACTAATTCACTCGCAAGATTAAGAATTCCTTGTAAATAATCTTCAAGATCGAGGTGTGCCCCTTTTAAGGGATCCGTTTCCACTAAAACATGGTAATATATTTTCATCTATTTAAAGAATTCTTTTATAAAATTTTATAAAATGATGAAAAAAATTGATGTATTGTGAAAGAAAACGTACATCCAATTAAATTAGCAATAATATTACGGCTAATTAGCGAATGATGTTCGAGGAAATAGGCAAAAGCAACGACGAAAACAATTCGTTGCGTAGTGAAGCGAAATGCATCGTGATACCTGAAAATAATGAGTTAAAAAAACGTAAAAGATTTCTGAATCCTTCCAAAACTTTTTTTCTACCATTCGTTACTGAGTCAAAAACGAAATATCATCGACTATTGCACTTTTCTAATTAAACTCAATTAAATACATTCATTTGAAAATAAAATAGTACTTCAAATCAATAAAAAATTTTTGCAGTAAATTTCAATTTTTTATATAGAAATAATAGCGCTATAATTGGGGCTAGAATGGTGTTGCGAACGCCGATGTTGAAATTCTATTGCCCGCAGGAGTAAACCTGTCCAAAAATCCAGGTGAAGCTGGCGACCTCACCTGTATTTCTATCGCCAAGGGATTCCTTGGTATATTTGTCAAGTGCGACAAGCCAGCGGAGTGAGTTTAACCAGTATTGGTGAGGACTCTTTAAAAAAAAAATAATAAAAATAATATAATTATTATTAAAATCTAACAATTTAATAATAACAATTATTTTATTAAGGAAATCATTAAAATTTTAAAGTGTAAAGCATTACTAAATTAATAAACCTTTCTACTATGCGAAAATTAATCGAGAAAAAAGAGATTTGACAAAAAAATGATTTGAATGATTTTATATAGAAATATTTTTTGTCGAAGAACCTCTAAAAATTATTTCCAGCTTTCCTATTAGTTAGCCACTACGATAGCAAATAGCAAAATGCTGTCCACGACTCTCTCGCCACCTTCTTTCCTTTCTATTAAAAGACAGGGATTGAGGGGACGTCGTGCATGAAATTATATTTAAGCACTATGATTTGTTATTTTATCAATCACAACAAGATTAAAAAGAATTTTACTTGTAGTAATTCGTATTGTTAATTTTTGATGCTAAAAGTTTAAAATTCGGTGAAATACTCGATTCAATCGTTTTCTTGAATTTACTCAATTCGTCCTCTGAAATGTTAGGATAAAATTTCTGTTGCTGATTAAAAATATCGATAAAAAAGAATTAAAGCAAAATAAATTTTCATGTTGAAAATTGTTGTCAACAAATAAGTGCGACTGAATTTAAATGGTAATTACATATTAATAATTACATATTAGCTTAAATGTAAAAATATTTAAAAAATGCATAGAAACGTCAAATCATTTTATGTCAACGAAAAACTTTATCTCGATCTGCCACTGAAGCCTTGCATTAATTGCATCGGTTATAGTTATCAGAGCATTGTCAATAACGTAAGCATGTAAAATTTTATATAGTAATGTCAAATCCTGCTTATTTATTCTCAACCTTCTTTCATTTAGAAGTCTAATTCCAAATTGCATAGTTTCAAGTTTCCTGTATGGTTAATGCTACTTTAGGATACTTAAGGAATACAACTTTTGTATTCCTTCAAATCCATGAGTTGCAGTTCATGAGTATACGATTTCCGATGTATTGGTGAATAACAACAAGCTATATTGTACTCCAACAGAGGCCGAATAAATGCTTGCATACTTCACTAAGAAAAAAAAGATTTCTCTTCTATTTTTTGAATGGTCGAAACATAAAAATATGGTGATGATCATGATCAAAATATCTGACAGTATCTGAAATATCGTTCAAGCGCATAAGAGTATAATTATTAACAAAAAGCTGGTGGAAGACTGAATTTTTTTGCCTGCATTTTTGGATAGAAAGCGTTGTTTTCTTTCAAATCATTTAGTTATTCTGTTAAGATCACCTAGGGAATAATTTATCCGATCTACCATAAGCGTAATAGATTTTCCAATCAAAAGCATAGAGGTAAATAGTGGAGTTTAACATAACTTAAGAGATATTATTTATCTGCATTATAAATTTATTTATTTGAATATAAATCAAACAAGACGTAAAGCCATTCGCACAAATTAATGATAAAAAAACCAGAGCGGAGAATTAAAAATAACGGTGATAAATACTAATAATGAAGCTACAATCTTTTTGTTTTATGGATAATTTTGTTGAGATTTGTTTCAAAACTGAAGGTAGATGAGTTAAGAACAACACAATGTGGTGATCTGCTCCAGTAATTATTACTTCAAAAAAATTGTGGGAAATACTATAAATATAAATAAATTTGTGTAGCCCAATCAGTTACCTCTGATAACGTTAACGTTCTAGTTGAAGTCATAATAATTGTAAGAGTATACATTATTATAGAATGATACATAGAATACATTATTATATATTGATATGGTTAAATCTTGATAAAATAATATAAATAAAATAAAATAATATAATAATAATATAATAATAATACAAATAATAAAATAATATAATAATAATATAATAATACAAAAATAAAATAAAATGATCTTATAAAATTTTATAAAAAGTAATCAAATCTTGTTTAATCTTTTAATTCTTGGTAAATTAAGATTAATTTAGATTTAATTTGAATTAAACGTAAAGAAGGAGCTGAAAATAAAATATAAACTACTAAAAAATGAAAAATCGAAATGAACAAATATAACAAATGAACTTGGCCAAACAATAACTCCATTAAAAAACGATATAACAATTCTTGTAGTTAAATGAGACTTCAGGATATGAAAATCTTATCGTATTAAATGAGAAATCTATGACTGATAATTTTATGATAAAATAATCCTACGATGAAAAAGAAGTTCCCAAAAATATAAATTAGATATAAAGAATTTAATAAAAATTTTTTGATTTATCAGAAGTATAAAAATATCAGAAAATGTAGTACAGCGATGGCATGAAGATTAATTGTAATCAAAGCCAAAATCCGAAATCATCCGAATTCCTTTCGAGATTGAAAATTTTAATGCTGGTTCGACGAAATGTTTAATGATGACACCTTTTTTCACCCTTAAGTATCAGTGTGACCATTTATCACTGTTATCATTTACTCCAATTCAAATTTTAAGAACTAGATTTTTGGTTCCGTTTTATAAATATTATAATAAATCTGCTCTAGATCAAAAATGAATAAACAAAGATGCAGCAAAAACACATGGTGCGAAATTCGCGAGAAACAAAACTTTTTTATCATAATTAATTTTAAAAAAAAATGACAAATTAAATTATGTAGATTAATGTGAAACTAAAAAGGCTTTTTTTCTTCGCTGTTATTCATCAACTAAAAAACAAAATATTAAAACAAAAAATGAAGAAATTTAAAAATACAAAAAGCAAAAGAAACAAAAGGAAGTTAATATAAATTTAGCAGAAATTAAAAAAGCAAAGGAACGAACCTATATCAGATACCAATAAATGAGTTTGTTGTAATGCACTAAGCATTTCACAATAATGAATTTCTAATTTCTGAACGATTTCTCGAATTTCCTGCATAAAAATAAATAAAAATTTAATAAAAATTTAAATTTAAATTTAAAATATTTAAAAGCAAATTATAAATTGAAATCACAAATAAAATTAAAAATATAATTGAAATACAATTAATGAAAAAAATATAATTATAAAAATTAAGAAAAAAATTCTTTGTACATTTCTCTATTTTCTAATTCTTTTGAACTTTAATAAATCAAGATAATTTTAATTTGAAAATTTATAAATTAAAAAATTTGAATAAATTCAGCCAATCAGTTAATTTATAAAGCCTTCTCAAAAAAAATGAATAAAAAAGAATTTTATTAAATATAATAAAAGCTTGAAAAAAAAATGAAAATTGAAATTTTAACGATAAAACGATAAAAAAGCTTAACTATTTGTTAAGTTCACAGGAAACCCTTTCAGACATTTCTGTCATCACTAATTAATTAAAATTAACATTTTAAATAATTCAACTGAAATATTTTCAAGTTGTTCCGAAAAAACCGTCGAGTTGGCACTCTCACCGTATCCTCAAGTAAGGTTTCAAGGCAAGAACTGTAGAGGAATAGCGATGAGTCGAATAAGCCAAATAAGAAATGATACATGATGCTAGACGAGTAAAAAAAGCAAAAGCAAAGAGTTTACCACTGCCATTTTGCTTTAATTTTAGAAAAAAAATTTAATTTTAATTTTAGAAAAAAATGAGAAATTAAATTATATTAAATTAAATTATAGATTAATATTCTTAATTTCGCAAATTTTATAAATTTTTTCTAAGAGCGCTCACCACTTCTGGCTAAACTCTCTCCGCTGGTTTGTCGGAGCAGATGAATTTTTGCAAGGAGCCACTTGGCGATGAAAGTACAGGTGAGTCATTAGCACCCCTCGAATCACTCGAGAACATGGCAGAGAGAATCTCGCTGGACGCAGAACTCGAGCATCGGCTGCAACTGACACTGCGCTATTTCCTCACGCAGAAAACATTCTGCCATCTCCCCTTTTCGTCAATTACCTTTCAATTAGAACCCAGTAAATTCATAGAATCATTGAGAACCCAGTAAATTCATTATCATTTGAATTCGATTTTACTTCGATGATTAGTGATAAAAATGATAAAAGCGAACCTCCCGAACGACTTGCTCCTCCATCAATTCATCTTTAATTTTAATAAACATTTCCTTCATTTCGCTATCCATTTTCGGCCTTTTTTATAAATTTTAAAAAAACATTCTTGAATCAAGTTTTCGCTTTAAGATTCACCGAATTTTGAATGGCTCGCCAACCACTAAGTTTTCAGATTAATAATTTGGAGTTATTTGTGCAAAAAGTCGCGATAGGCGTCTGTCAGCGCTTTATTAGGCGCATTTAATAATGAAGAGTGTTGGCTTTTATCAATTGCGCTAGGAAGAGGAAGGGAACAGCACAATTAGTCTGATAGACTGGCCAGCCTATTTCATCTGTAATGTAGACACGAGGAGGTGATAAAGGAAGGAGAGGATCGCCAATTTTTTGCGAGTCTTTCTGTTCCTCGTTAGGCTGTCAGAGCAGCTAAATTTTGGGCGCAGCGGTGCTCAGCGAAAGGGGATTTCGAGTGGGAAATTCAAATAAGAATTCAGAAAAATATAATTGATCAAAGGGAATTCTGGTAATTCTCGTTTGATTGTCCTTGTTGGCAAAAATGTTTCGATGATTCCGCCTTTTAAAATCTCTGTTTTTTCTGCTTTTCAATAGGATTGTTTTTTTTCAAATCGTCAACAAATTTCACTTTTTTTTCCCATAAATTCCACGAATTTGATGAAATTCGGAGATAAAAATTTTGTATTTTGTATGATGAAGGAGGAAAAATAACAAATAAATAAATTTTATATGACGTGATTTACTAAGATGAAAACTGTGTGGAGAAAAAGGAGATATTTGCAGTGAAAATGCTGGGAGGCGGATTTTCGAGCAGAAAAATGTCAAGTAAGAGGGGGACAAAGGAGGACAAAGATAAAGGAGCGTAAAGGAGCAGAAAAGTGCCGAGGAGGTGAGATTTGTCTTTTAATCCTATAATCATTCCTCATGGCATATTTCATCTTTGCCATTTAACTTACGCGAAATTATTTTTAATTGAGCAAAAATCGTCTTTTAATAAGCATAATTTGCGTAAATAATTATTATTTGGAAGCAGTTTTATTTGAAGCGTCGAACGAGTGCTGCTTTGTCTCTTTAAATGGGTAATTTCGAAGCGGTGTCGTTATTTCCTCTCCGTCACGGATCTGTGCGAATATACGATTAATCAGGTTTATACGATTCATCTCTACCAACGAAGGACAATTTCAATACTTATCGAGCCACTCATATAAATAACTATTATCTAAGATTTTTTAAACTCCGTCGCGAATTTATAAAAACTATAACCATTGTTGTTCAATCTTCGTATAAAAGTCTGGAAAGAATCTCAAAAGAAGCTTCCTTTTCGCCCATAAATTTTCAACACTTAGAATCCTTATATTCTAAAAAGTAGTTGGAAATAACATTTCATTCTTCGCCTCTAATTTCTGTTTTGAATATTTCAATTATGATTAAACTTGTTGCTCTTTCTTTAACGACCTTAACGGCATTTTTTGGTTGCATTTGTGGTAGAGCTATGGTGCAGCAGAACTTTAAAGGTGAGTTGTACTCAAACGCTCCGTGCTTTCACCATAAAATTGTTATATTATATTATGTTATATTACATTACATATATATATATATATACAAATATTTGCTTATTCGCATATTCTGTAATGCCATACCAACAGAGTTAATTTATTTAATCGAATATATATTGCATATATTCATTTATGGGTTTATATTTCTAGAGTTCTGTGGTACCACCAATAAGATTTGTCTGAAAAGTGAAAGATGCACTCAAGTTTGCAGGTAAAATTTTGAGTCATTTCTCTTGCGGTTTGACCAAATTACATTTTACAAGTCAGTGTAATAGTTATAAATAAACTCTCATGCCTATCCTTTAAAAATTCTTTCTAATTTTTTATAGAACCTGAGCGACCAGTGCAATCTGATCATATAATGATTTACATAATTTTATTCTATTCTATTTATCATATTTTCGAAAATTTAAATTTTAAATTTTAAATTTTATATTTCGATAGATTCATTCAGATTTTTCCAAAACCGTATTCCAAAAGCTGAATTAGAGCCATTTTGACGATTGCTTATTTCTAATTACGCTTTAAATCTCTTTGGAATTTTTTGATCTCCAGTAAAAAGAGCAAATATCTCAGTTAAGACTTCAATCTAGAATAATGATTAATCGTGGAAATTCGTCACCGTAATAGATCATTCTTTGCTTCAACCCTGAATAAAAGTCGATTAAACTGAAAAAATTACATTTTTTTACATGTCTTCTTATTACGTCTTATTATTATGACGCCGAGCATGATTTATAAGCGTGAATATGAATTATTGAATGTCCTAGATGGGTCTATGGAAAAGGCGAATTTCTTGGTTGCAAGGTAGGCTGTGAGAAAATTCATCAAGCAAAAATCAAAACTACCGTAAGCAGAACTCCACTGCCAAACTTGTAAGTCGCTAATATTTCAAGCAGTTTTTTATGTCAAGATATTTCAGTATTTGTTTTAGAAAAATTTCATCTTGGGTTTTTTGTATGAAAATAATTCAAATATGAGATTTGCATGCAAAATGATTTAAAATTATTTAAAATATCATAAAATTTTTCAATACATATTTTTTATACATATTTCTAAAAATGTTGTATTTTAAAAGTATATTTTAAGTATATTTTTGCGAGAAAGATTAGAATAGAGCATAATAATAGGAATAGTGTATATCAAAATGAATTTCAGTGTAAATCTCAGTGATATGAAATGGTGTGTATTGAGCATAAATTAGAAGTACCCCATCTCTTTCCAGCAAACTCTATTTTTTCGAATCTAAAGAAAATGCTTGTACTTAAAAGTTTCATAACTCAAAATTTATGCAATATCGTAATTTACCACCATCTGAGCTTTTATGCAGATGATTGAAAATATATCGTCCACCATTAAAAATTAAATTTTCAAAAAAAGTTCACTCCATATTTTTTAAAAGTCCAAAACCAGATTTTGCGGATTTTATAAGTGCTTAGAAGGATCCTTAAGAATTTTTCAGTGATGTTCATGATAATAAATCATTGATAAACCTTGAAAATTTTGAAGAGACGACATCTGATAACCACGTAAGTCCTTTATTCACTTTATTTTTCAACACCTTTTCTCTCTTATCTGAATTTGTAATGCATAAATAAAATATTCTTGAAATAGTTTTATTATATTTCTTTTTAGCAAATCAATAGTAAGGGAATTGTAGTTGAACAACCAAAAATACAACCTTACGAAGCCGAATTTGTTGAATTCAGCGTTAATATAACGGATTCGTATACCCAGCTGAAATCAATGGATGAACCTGATCAATTTTCCGTAACTGAAAGTTGTTTTTTTTGCTGGTGTTTTTGAAATATTTCTTCAACACTTTTGAAAATCTCCATGATATGAGACTTGACTATAGAATCATGTCAAAAAAATGAAGTTATGACGACACTTACTCATAATATTTTTCTATAATATTTTTAAAGAATTGCAAATTTTAAAAATAAAATTTTTAAAATTAATATAATTTATATACATATATAATATAAATTATATTATATTAGTTTATATTATATTATTAATTATATTATTAACTATATTAATATAATATAATTAATATAGTATATAATACAATTTAAAAATATAATTTTTCATTAATAAAAGAAGTTATTACTTTCTTCAACTTCTGTTATCATAAAACCATCTATAATTTATTGGGCATCGTCATCTTTTCTAAAAACTCAACCAATGAGGGTCTTATTACTTCAGAGAGAGTTGCATAAGAATAGAAAACAGTAGGATACACAATGGCAGAACCATTCTTATCGATAGAAAAAATGGTTTGAACTTAATCGGAATAATATACCCACTAAACCAAGCTGCCTGTTGTTGAATATTGATGGATTCTAAAATAAGATCTGTTAGAACTAACTGAAACTGAATAAATATTTCAAAATTAGTAAAAATTGGCAAAAATATGATCAAATTTCAGCAAAAATGTCTCAAACCACGAATGTTCCTAGCGACACAATATCAATATCTTTACTCGATGAAATTAACAGTGATTTTACAGGACCATCGATAATTCAACCAAATGTCACCACAACTACCCTTTCCTTACTTAATCATACCGAGAATTTAAGCGGTTAGAAGAATAGTTTATCTTAGTTTTTTCATAAATTTTTTCAGAAAATAAAAAATACATAGACTGGGTCTGCTGGCCTGAATATTAATGAAACCCTGATTGCAGAAAAAGATATTATATTAAGTGAATATGATGCTGAAGATGAAGAATCCGCAGGAGATAACTTCTTTGCTTCAATTGATAGTATGCGATCGGAATCATCGACTTTTAATGCAAAAATTCCAGTTTCAAGCAAAATATTTCAGACTAATTCACCAATAAATTTTATTGATCAAAACAGTATGCTGCTTTTTTCTTTTTCCTTCTTTTGGAATTATTCGTGTATAACGATGGCGGGGTTATAACTGTTTAAATGATTTAATGGATTGCAAGGTCCAACAGTATTCTTCGTTTCCTCTTTGGCTAACTCCACTGGTAATCAGGGTGAAAGTTTTTCACCATAGAGTCACTCGGAGCGAGGCATGCTGCGTCCTCAGAATTCACTAATTCTCGTAATTCTCGTAATTCTTTCGTAATTCTTTTTGATGACTCCTTTCTCCTTTATTCCTTTCAAGAGTAAAAAATTATCTGATCTTAGTCGGAGCAACATGTCATTTGGCGCGACTTTATTATTTATTAATAAAAGAGTTGCATATTTATTTTTTGCATCAGGATGTCAATTTGTGGAAGATATTTATCATTATCATTTTCTCAAGGTTTTCTGGATGATTTATTTAGCTTTTTCAATTCACACTACCATTTTAAATAAAATTTAGTGTTGAAATTTTTCTTTTAGATTGCCCACCTCCTAGTGTTTGCAAGCCTAACTGTGGAATTTATATTGACGATAATGGATGTCAAACATGTCAATGTATTTGGCTTTCTACGGGTGAAAGAAATTGTTTCAGATTTAATATTAAGTAATCTGGTATATTGTAGCCTTAAGTATTTTTCTCTGTCAAGACTGCGATGAGCAACGAACATTTTAAACGAATAAGATATTTTATTTTTATAAGCTTATATTCGCTTTCTTTTTATTATTCTTTTTGTCCGTAAATTTTCGTTTCTGACGGTAACTTTTCTTTATATGATTGATGACTGAGCAAAGGACCAGAAGATTGGTTGAAGATTCAATTTGAAATTTTCCTTTCCCTTCAGTCTTGAAAATTCGCCGCATGTTCTATTTTGTATTTTTGCAGAATGTACTCATAACTCGGATTGCAACGATAGCTTGAAATACTGTGATATTGGTCGATGCCAGTGTAAAAAAGGTTTTATACCAGATATGAAAAAGTCAGGCCTCTGCAAATTCGATATAAATTCAACCTCAGAAAGTGCCGTTTTGAGAATTAGAAAATATCACAATTTTTTTCTTTTTCTAGTGGCACTTACCATTACTGATTTGGCTGGATTCCTTAAATTGCCTAGGCAATATCCTTTCTCCAACTTTTCAATTTGGTACTGTCAAAACAGAAAAAACATGATACTAAATCTTAATAGCTGAAGCAACATATTCCATTTTACAAATACATTTATAAGATTTTAAATCAATGTATAATAATATATAATTTTAAGATAATGATGCAATTGCTGAAAACAATTCTACGGTTAAAACCGAAGCCAATGAAAATGAAAGTACGACTGCTTTTGGAACCACTTTCGAAACGTATGACGCTAACTCGAATAATAGGGTAAGTTGAGCCAACAAATCTACCAATTAATATTTAATGATTAAAACAACAGTTAGGTTTATCTAAAACTTACTAAATGCGACTAGTAAGCGATAAATGAAAATTCTTTTGTTTTCGCAGATTGGAAGAAATTCAGTAAACCAAATTTCATCGATGGAAAAAATATCTGAAGAGCAATCGCCATTTAGTACTGATTTAACATATAAATGATGATCGGCGAAGAAAATGTATAAAATATATATTGAAAATATATTTTTCTTATTTGAATTTGTATTTATCTTCAAGTTAATACTAAGTTTTACACCAAAGAATTACTTAGAAAACACCACATATCAGTGACATAACTTTTGATAGTGAATGCTAAACTTTTGAATGCTAAACTGGTACATATAATATAATATAATATGATATAAATATTAATATAATATATGAATATAATATATTATATATAAATATAATATAATATAAATATAATATAAATAATATAAATATATAATATAAATATAATATAATATAAATATAATATAATATAATATAAATACAATATAATATAATAAATACAATATAAATACAATATAATATAATATAAATACAATATAATACAATATAAATATAACATAATATAAATATAATATAAATATAATATAATATAAATATAATATGAATATAATATAATATAAATATCATATATTAATAATATAATGCTTATTTATTTATTTACTTATTTATTTATTACTTATTTATCTTATTTCTAAAAATCTATTCTATAAATTTGTTCATATTATCATATTCCATTATCATATTCATATTCCATTCATATTCATTATATTCCATTATCCATTATCATATTCCATTTTCTTTCTCTAATATCATATTAACATTATTTAGCAATTAAGCACTTAATTATCGTTTCTAACTTGGCTGGCTGCACCGGTGATAATGATAAGACGCTTGACCAGCTGCAGATTGAACTGTAGATTGTCCCACGGATTTCAGCTTGAACTTCACTTTTAATGGCAGATTTATTTATCTATTTATTGAAAATTATGGCGTCAAGCGCCATGTGCTTAATAAAATAAAATTAATAAAATTACATTAATAAACAACAGATTGAATAACAAATAAAAAATAACAAATAAAGAAAATAAGACAAAAACTAACAATGAAAAAAGGAAATAAAGAGGAGCTACGAAAATAGTACAATATAATAGTACAATAGAAAATAGTACAAGTTAATATATTGCTTATACAAAATCGAATGGTAAAAATCAAAATTTCAAGACGTGAACTTTTTAAATAATATTATAAACGATACTATCCTGTTTTTTTTAAAAAATTAAGAGTGATTCACAAGCTATATCGTTTAGTAATTTATTCCTGTAATTAATAGTACGAATAAATCATTAATCCTTAGTTTTTGTTTGCATGTAGGTTTTAACAATTATAATTTATAATTTATATAATTTTAGCCCATTAGACCTTATTCAATTTTAATCTAAAGTTATGATATTTTGAACAACTGTAAAATTCAACTAATCTAATTCAACTATAAAATTTTATAAATATAATTTATATCTTGTTTAATTCGATGAATTGAGAGGGAAATCCAGGTTGAAATTTTATAATTAAAATTGCTATTAGGACAGAGACGACATATAAAATATTTCTAGAGTCCTTCAATTATTTTACTTGACTTATGGTATGCAAAGAATAGCAGGTATTATTCAAGAGGCCAAACGAACGCTTTGAACATTTTGATAAGAAAATCATCAACAGAAAATCTTCTATTCTTAAAAGAACGAAAAATAAAATTTAATTTTTTTGAGGATATCATGATTATGCCAAGATCGGAAATATGTGAGGCGTCATGTCAGAAAATGTGTTGACACATAGTGACGATCTTTTATGCTATTTGACACTCAGTTATACCTATAACGCCAATTAAGGGTGACCAACAACTTTCTATGGGAAAAATACCAAAGGCTTTGGCTAAATCTGGGTATCAAAATGTTCAAAGCGTTCGTTTGGCCTCTTGAATAATACCTGCTATTCTTTGACATACCATAAGTCAAGTAAAATAATTGAAGGACTCTAGAAATATTTTATATGTCGCCTCTGTCCTAATAGCAATTTTTCCATTATCAATCGAGAAGATTCACCAATATTTGTGAGGAAGCAGATTTTTTCATACAAAATTTATGCTGATGTGCGGATATTATTGGCATCAAGATTTGCAACTTATTGCAAATCACCCTGTAGCAAATCCCAGCTACTTTCAGCACGCATGTTAGGCGGCTAATAGGCTAATAGGTTATTAGAACGATCACAGATGCTTCCTTTTTTATAAATGGGAATTAGATAATTTCCAAATTTTGGGATTTAGACCAAACTTCATAATATCCTTATAAGTTAGAAATAGGGAAAGACTTAGAGAGACTGCATATTTGTAAATTATTTGTGGAATATTATCGGGACCAGCTGAAATGGACGGCTTGAGTCTATTTAAGGTGTCACGAACATCTAATAATTTCAACATCACAGAGAGAATTGTAACAATTTCGATTTAAATTGGAAAAAGTGCTGCAAGCATTATCGCCAACAAATACGCTGGAAAAATATTGATTAAATATGCTTGCAATATCGAGGTGATATCAAATTATCGTTATGTTGCAGAACTATTTGTTTAGTGGATTTGCGAATTTTCCTTAAGTCCAGAAAGAATTCCCACTGATATTTAAAGACTGCGAAAATTGCTTTTCTTATTCGGAAAGCACTTATGAACAGCGCTAAATTTTTAAGCATTCATTCTTTATATATGCTTGGCAATTGGTTGATTTGTACTTATTATAAAGCTTCTTGGCAGTTTATTGAAGAGAAAAATGGAATCGCCCTGACGTTGTTTTTCCTCAGAGGGATATATTGCTCTATAAGGTATAAAACAGTGCTATTAAGAAAATTAATTTTTTCGTCAGTAGAGTGAGGCAAATAAAATAAGAAATCGCAGATTACTTCCGAAAGGATAAAATCAATAATTTCGTTATCAAAATGACAGTAATTTTTAGAAATCTCGAAGGAGATGCATAGCGGTCCAATTTTAATGAAGCAGCATGAATGTGGTCATTATTACAAAAGGTTCTAGGACATTGAAAAGAGAAGAAGCACCAGCACAACATCCAATATGGTGTTATACCTAGTGGCGAACATAACACGTTGCTCTAAGCCTATATAAGCGCAAAGCTTTAGTAAACCCTCTTCAAATTTGCTGCTATTTTCCATGCAACTACTGTCCCAATCTATGTTTGGCACATTAAGATCATCAACAATTACACAATCAAGCTAATCTGAATACTACACATGCATAAAATTAATAACAATTCATAACTGCGGTTGCACTTCTCGTTTTTCGTTTGAAATTTTATAAATAACAACAATTCATAATTGCGGTTGCACTTCTCGTTTTTCGTTTGAAATTTTATAAATAACGAAAAATTCAAAGCCTCAACCTAAGAACTGAACTGTTTATTGCGCACAACAAAAATATCGAATTTATTTTGTAAAACAATAAACTTATTGACACCTAAAAAATTCTAGATTTTTTCGTAAAGAAGTTGGAAAATCTTTCAGAAAGATTTCGGTTGAGACTGCTGTTCATTGCTAATCGTCAATAACATTTATTATTTCTGGTCTGTCTAGTTCCACCAGAGATTCTTTAGGGAGAGGGCCAGCTAGAACTAGAAGTGGCCGCACACCCCGTGCCTCAAACTCCCTTCAGTCTTTTAATGATAAATTTAAAGCGAACCAATTTGAACCGACCAAAACCTAACTCACTTGCTTCTGATTCTGGCCAAAGTGACATACCACTCAGTCGATCTTCCCTAAGCTGGAATCGCTCCTTGCCACGAAAAGAATAACCTTTCAAACATAGCTTCCTTTAATTTCACAAAACCCGTAGTCCACACTAAAATTCCCCCGACAAATCCTTACAATTTCCATTCTTGTTCATGAAAATGTTCGTTTTTATTCAAAATTATCTACTTGCGAGAATTTTTTTGCAACTTGGAGACGAGTTTACCCTAAATACCGCAGTGAATCGTTTGCAGCGTGCAATCTGCAGTTTACAACTTGCAAGATGCTTTCATATGTATGCGACATCACCTAATATATTTTATTTGTTACATTCATCAAAGAAAAAAAAAATGAAGAAACTGCAACGAAAATAAATATTCTTCAATTTTTTCGAATGACAACAAACTCAAATAACAAATATTTAATACAAAAAAACTGAGGAAATAAGAGAACAGTACGAATAATAAGAATAATAAAAAATTTCAAGGATTTAACCGGAAACGGTAGTTTAGTTTAAATACGGTAGATAAAAAAGTAAATACGACAAATGAAAGCAAAAATACGAAAAAAAGAAAACCGGGAGGATTTTGACGAAAAAGAACACAGAAAAAGGGGAAATCCACAAATTAGAGATAAAAAACTTTTATATGCACTGATTTACCTGCCGGCTTATGGAATATCAACCTGCATTTTATTTTAAAAAATACAGCTATTTTATAAGGTTAAATAAAAAACGCCGTATAACCGACTAAAAAAAAAAAACAGTCCGATGATACAAACAGCGGTATCAGTTAGTCGATTATTTTACAGAAAAGGTTTTTTAGCAAAAATATTTCCCAGCAAAATTCTTAAATTACAATATTTTTCCAAAATTTTATGGGCCAATTACAAGAAACGCTCTCACCGAATTTACGATCACTCGCACAGAATAATTAAAATAATTAAAATGAAAACAAATGAAAACACTTGAAAAAACACGCCGAACGTTTCATAATTTTTTCGGATAAACTGAAACGTCGACTCGACAAATATCGACTTGAAAAAATAACAAAGAAATTCAACATAGAAAGAAAATATAATTTCCGCGAAAAAAATCCTATAAGACAGCCAATAATTTTTAATAAATTTTATAAAATAAAAGCAATTAATCCATGATAAACGCATGAATTTTATAAGCAAACTGAAAAAATTTTAGGAAAAATTCACGAAAATTTACTTAGCAACCACCCACATATGTACAGTAAAAAAGAAAAAAATATGCGAAAAAAGATGCTAAAATGAAAAAACAAACGGTTCCTTCCTATACACGCAAAAGCACATAATAATAACCTAAATGATAAAAATCCATCTCCAAAATTAGCCTATAAACTGCTCGAAATATAAAAAAGTTTCCTAGCAATTTATACCCCTAACAAGCAATGAATAAATTAATTATGGGATGGTGGCATAAAAAATAAGATTGCAACTGAAAAGATTTGCTTTTGTTTTCCAAGCTGCATCGCTTTAGTATGTGACTCTCCTATTTAAAGGTCGGGACGATGCTCATCTGCACCTCTATTCTCAAGTCACTCTCAGGCAAAATTGGCAATGGAACTAGCCAAACCATAAATGTCAGAAGAAGTACAAAATCATTGCCATAAAAGAAGAAATTTCGATGAGGATTTGACTTAGCTTAAGTTCCTCAGAAATAATAAACTTTGTGAATTTTTCACTTAAATATCGAAAAAACTGGAAAAAATAATCGCCGAAAGTAATTCCAATTCCCAAATTTTTTGCCATTTTCTATTGTCTTTCTCGGTGAAGAATTTCTCGCAACTGGTACTTACTTATTCAAATCCACAAAAAAATTTCGCTACATTTCATTACATAAATAAATTTATAGGCCGATAAAAAAATTTTTTTAGCATAAAAACGAGAAAACCCATGACGAATGCGTGTGCTTAACCGTATTTAGGAGATTTTATTATTGAACAAAAAAACCACCATAAAAATGTAGATAACTTGGATCAGCAGAAAAAAATTTAAGGCGGAAAATAGAAAAAAATATTCCGAGGAGAAATAAATTGTTTTAAGAAGTGCCTATGCGGATCTTTCTGAAAAATTTCTTAGCCATTTCTTCGATCCTTATTAGCCAAAAAAAATTTTATCGCAAGAGAAGTTTTCAAATTTAAATGAAAACCAAATCTCACCAATCGATGCACCGCTGAGACTACCGCCGCCATTATCAGTTCAAATCACCATGGTTCGGACGCAAACTGTTGCCACATTGCTAACCGTTCCTTTCCCACTCAAATCCACTTCTCTACGCAATAAAAAAATTTTGGCCTTTTCGGATCAAAAATAAAAAAATACGAAAAAAGAAGAAAGAAGTGAGCAGCTAAAAGCTGAAGATATATTGACGACTGAGGTTTCTATTCTGAATTCCACCGGCTTTGCCAATAGCGAATCGATTCGAGATCAAAAAATGAGTTAGATTTTATATATGAGAAGGAGGAGAAAATTTTTTGCTGTTGTAACACGAATTGCTGGTGCTGTTGTTGTCCGTCTGTGTGGGTTACTGCTATCGTTAGAGGTTTGGTTGTTTCTAGCAGGTAAGGTGGTCGATCGCTTACTTAACTCGTCCCTTCTTCAATCATTGAAAACAAATGAACATCTGTATTGCTTAGATCTGCACTATGGAAAAAAAATTTGAAGACATCCATATAAAAAATTGGCTTTAAAAACTTTGATTTCCTTTTTCCAGGGAAAAAACTTTCCCTGAATTCTTTGTGATAAAATTTGAACTTATTTCAGACAACCTTATGTCCATTACGTATATTTTTTAAAAGCGATTATGAACTTAAACAACACCACCAATAAATTCGAGCCGTAAAGAAGTAATTTTCCGTAAATCAAAAAAAATTTCAATTGCTTTTCCACCTTTTCTCGAGCTTTTCTAATGATATTTTATAATTTTTCCACGAAATAGAATAAATTTGAAAATTTGAGATGAAACTTGCTAAATTAAGATGGAGAAGCGTACATATAATATGGCGTACATTTATTTATATAGCAAATTTTTACTTGCTTCTCACAATATCACGCAGTTCAAGGTCATGACAAATTCACACTAACAAAGTAACAAGAAAAAAAAAAAGAAAGAAATAACTATATAATTTGATATATGGCCGCTAGTTTGGTCATTTCAAACCCTGGAATAAGATATGGCTGATAACTATAATTCTAGGAAATGTATGCAATAATGAAGTTGATGAGAAAAAACTCGGTAAATCACGCAAAATAAATATAACTCTTCAACTAGTTGCCAGTTACAGCATGAATGATTCATTTTTTACAGGTAATTGTAAAGTATTTAGCGTTGAACTCGTACTTACACCTGATGATGGTACTTTCAAATTCGATGACGCTTCCGATGATGGCAATGATGCAAGACTCGAAAGTACAGATGGAAGATATGTTGGTGGAAATCCAAATGCAGCAGCTTTAATAGCAGTTGCAGTTGCACTACTGACTGCTGGCAAATTGTTCGCTAATATCGTAGGATCAGTGAGGAAACCATTGAGGAAAGGATATTTGTTTCCAAATAAAGAATTTGGAATCGTGCTTATCGTCGGACTTAGATGATTGGCTAGCTCGGAAAGTTGATGTAACGATGTCATGAGTCCCTAAAAGTCAATAAAAATTCAATTTTTTGGGACAATCATAAAATTAGCATTTTCTAACCCCATCTTATAATGAGGTTCTTCTAGGTTCGGTTCTTTTATAAATTATATCTGTCTAAAATTTTAAAGGACATCAATCTAGGAAAAAATAGATAACCGACTGAATATTAGAATATATGGTCTTTCCAAAAACATTGTCAAAATTAAAAAATAACATACTTGTTGATACATATAAGCATTTAGAAGTTGCTGCATATACAGCTTATACTCATCACTATTAACGACCGACTCCAACGTGAACGAAGGATTAAATATCGAATTTGAAAGACTGACGTGGGCCTTCGACGTATGATTATTAGATACTGCAGGTGCAGATGAAGATTTTCCTACTACATTTACAGGATTCATATATGATGGCATTGGCTTAAAAACGGATGTCTGAAAAGTTGAAGAGCTGATAAATTTGCTAATTTTTACAGATAAAAATTATCTCATTCATAAAGCATAAATAGAGTTTGTTCAAAGAATTCCTGGATAAACTGTGAAAAAATTCTAAAATATTTTATCAATATATAATTAAGACAATAGAAAATTAATTATTTGAAAAAAGAGAGAAAAAAACCTGAGACTGATCGCTTAATGCAGCTAATTGATCAATTCCAAGTGGTGAACCAGCAGCCGAATTGACAGGACTTGTACTGGCACTGTGATCGCTTAGATTCGTATCTGATCCAACACTGCCACCTAAAATTACAAAAAAAGAATTAAATTCCCTTAAAACCAGTGGCGCATAGTGGCGGGACAAAAATTGTGATGGTGAAGGAAAAAAATCGAAATATCAAAAAAAAACCAAAAAAAGATCTAAACAAATCGCCAGGAAACTTAAAAGAAATATCAAAATTGAATACGATGGACCAGAATATTGCTTTCAGATCATGCCAACTAATCTGAGACAATTAGGTGGCAAACTAAAAAAATTTAGCTAAAATGACAATGACAACCAGACCTGGATGCATTCCATTGAATTCGCCTTCAATACCAGATGTTCGCCGGCCAGCCAATGATCCAACACCAGTAGAACGATTTGCAGCTCGAGCCGCCGCTCTGTTCCGCCTTCGTAATGTTTGTTTATCGCCAAGTTCAGGAACTACTGTCCAGAAATGACCTAAAAATAAATTAATTAATAAGCGAACGACACCACTCGCCGAAGTTTGTTTCAGAGGCCTTTATACGAAAAATCCAAAAAAAAGTTATGTTATCAAGACGATGAAAATACAGGTTGACATAAAAGAAAAAAGGAATCTAACGTGTTCTCATTCGAATAAGTTACTGACATAGATTTGATAGCATTTTTGGCAAAAAAAATTGACAACTAACCAACGACACCACTCGCCGAAGTTTGTTTCAGAGGCAATTTAACGAAGCAATCGTGAAGGCTCAAATTATGTCGTATCGAATTCTGCCAACCCCACTGATCAGGACGAAGACGATAATATGGATGAAGTGTGCGTATCACCTGAAAATCCAAATAAACCTTTGAGATTGTGATAATCATTACGAAATAAATAAATTCTAAGGTAACCTTGCAATATTAAAAACTAGAAGGTAAGCGAAAAAACTTCAAAAAAAACGACAAAACATGTCTTTATTTTCTTGCCAACAATTCTTCACACTCAATCAACCATCTTCAATTCCAACCGATTGTGATTTTCTTATCAATATCTTTCATTATGATTATCATTACCCAGTTATCCTTTAATTCACAATTCTGCCACATGATTATTTAAAAATTAATTTCAAAATGAACTAGAGGTTTCACAACTGAGATCCCCTTTTCCTTTTTCCTTTCCCCTACAATTTCATAAGTAAACTACCTAATTACTAATAATTCTTTTTGCAACACAATTTCCACACCAAAAAGTCACTGCATACTAGAAAATCGAAATCATACCTATCCTACAAATCAGCTTGCACGTTGTTCGAATCATTTTAACAGCTCAAATGAACCTTTTTCCTGAGAGACATAGAAACAATAACTCCATAGGCCATCAGTACTTTAGGTGTGCGATTATCCAAGAGCAGCGAACGCAGTAGTTGCTCTTTTGTATTGAATACTTACGGGAGATTGAGTTTGCAAACTTAGCATTACTGATCAGACTCGCTCCACTGGCCTTCCCATCCATATAATACAAACAGCACTTGCTTTTCCACCATCTTAGCCTTTATACCATCTATGCTATGAAAATATTTTTATAAGACATCAATTCAGATTTTGATTAAGCTTCTTCGTTTTTCGTACCGTCCATCAAAAGCCTTAGCCTGGCAAGATATGCATGTGATGAGCAATGAAGAACTTGGCCGAATCAACGCAGGAGACACTCTGTGGACGACACTCAGCGACGACACTCGATGTGGTCACTGCATTCAAAGGTTCATGAAGGTTCATGACTGCACAGATATTTTTAAACAAAATGAATATATCTAAAGTAAGAATGGGCAAATTAGAAAGACAGCTTCCTTTCCTGACATCTTTCATTTTCACTGGTACAGATAACTGCGGAACTATGCTGACGACACATTCCTTCCCATTATCATTTTTCTCTCTAACCCCCACCCTTATCACTTTTCTTATCATCTCTTCCTCTCTTTTTAACAATGATAAATATATATGATGGTCCCTCCAAAAAATTACTCAATAAATCATCACCGCATAAATTTTTATCTTTTGCCGCTTCTCTCTGCTTCTCTTATACCCTCTCGTTATTACATTATTTTTCATTAGTCATTAATATACATATACAAAAAAGTTAAAATAGAAAACATAAAAAGTTCAATAAAAATAATAATGACGTAGATAAAAAATAGAGAAAAATACAAAAATCAATCGAATCATAGCTCGCGAAAAGTTGAGGACGGCCGACGGTTAGAGCAAACAGAGAGAAGAACAGAGAAAAGGTGAAGCTTCGCGAAGACTAATAAGGACTCGACGAAAGAAGACGGACCAGAGAGAAAATTTCAGAAAAAATATCGATGTTTACGAATGAATATCGAAGAGAACGCAGAGTGAAAAGGAAAAGAATTTAGAGAAAGAAAGAATGCAGCTAGGGTAATTTTTTTGGAAAATGTATCATATACTATTTTTGTGACGTAATTAGATGTGAACGAGAGAGAGAGTTTTTGCATTTCTATAGTCCACCTAACTTCTCTCTTCTTTTTTATAGTACATCAACGCGATTAAAGTTCCTAATGTATGCTGGTCTAGATTGGTCTTTAACCCTTCATCTTTTGACCTTTGCTCCTTCCCGATCGATAATCCGTATTCTAATGTCATCCAAATGTCCTCAAAGGTAACAGCGAAATTAAGAAGGATGGAAGACTTCTCACTAAAAGATAGGCCATAATAATGATGAAATGAATCAAAAATGATATAAACGGCGGACGAGTGGAATAGATCATTGGTTTGTGAACTATAAAAAAATAAGTCAGACGTTATAAGACTGACTATAGCGTCGTTTTAAGAGATATGCGTATTATATCTATGGAAACGAATGAATGAAAGGCGATGACGCAGGCGACGTAAATGAACGAAAAGGAAAATAAAAGTACTTGTATCATTAACTAAATAGTATTCGTGGAGCAAGCAATACGCTTTGAGTTGAGTGAATTATATGTCCGGGTTAAAGGTCGCGGAATATTAGGCCCCAGCAAACGATCGAAGGTCGATACATGAATAATTAGGCATAGGTCGAAAACACTAATTCTCAATGGGAAAGACTGGTCGTTTGTTTTGATAGAGCCGAGGACAAGCCACATCATAGGTTCCATTCTTGACTCTTGACGAGTATAGAAGTGGAACTTGGTCAATGCTCATAGTCTACCTCCCACCTATTTTTATATCGAATGGATCTCCACTGAAAAAATTCCATCCTACAGGTCAACGAAAAAATTTCGAAAAAGAAGGAAGCTAATCGTCATCAATCGAAAAACCAATTTATGCAAAAATAACTAAAAATAACTACAATTACCATTTATAATGGAAGTCCATTGACAATACAGAAAAATGCAATCAATTTTTCCCATCTTTCGGTGGCCTCCTTCATTTTTTTTTCTAATTTTTTCTTCACCATTTCTTCATCATTACTGGTTAAACTCGATCCGCTGGCTTGTCGGACTAGACAAATATGCTAACGAGTCCCTTGACGATAGAAGTACAGATAAGTCGCCCACCCGGATTTTTGTATAGATTTACTCCTGCAGGGAATCGAACCTCAGCATCGGCGCTCCGAACTGAGCAACAACCCACTGAGCCATTCTGTCCCTCCTTTGAAAATATTATTTGCAAGAGTGTCATCAAAACACTATAGATGTCTTTTAAAAAATCCGTAATGGTTATAAAACTTATATTTTTTATATTTAAAATAAAACTAAATAATTATAAAGAAACAAGTTTAAAAATGAACAAACCTGATAAATTTCATTGAGTTTTAAACGTTTCTCAGGACTGCTTTCAATAGCTTCAATAATTAAATCTTTATAACTTAAACTCGGCCTTTCAGCTTTTTCAGCCAAATTTGTTACGGTTTCTGTAGCGTTAATAATATTTGCACCAAGTAATGCTGCAGTTGTTGTTGCGGTTGTTGATGGTGCAATTGGTACCGTTGATTGTGATGATAATGACGTTTCGCTACCATTTAATGTGCCAATAATGCCAATATTACCATTCGATTTGCTAATTAAATCTGGTGATGATGAAGAAGGTGATGACGATGGCGACGATGAACTTAATAAAGCATCCATTTGCTGTTGTTGCTTTGGTAAATTTGTTAGCGCTGGTGATGGTGACGGTGATGATGATGACGTAGTCATCGTCGTTGAACTATAAGGTAATTTGCTTGTGATTATTTGATCTGCATTATTCACCAAATTTGCACCATTCGCCGTCATTATTGTCACCGCTGCTTTATTTATTGACGAGGATGAGCTGATATTACTTTCATTATTACTAATATTATTCTCATAATTAGTGAAATGCAAATGATTAGTTGAACGATTAATAGATGTATTTATAAGATCCATAAGATCAATTGGACTACCAATTGTGGTAGAAACTTGTGCAGTTGCTGGACACAGCTCCAGGTTGACACTGATTTCTTTCTTATCCTTTTTAGCTTCAACTCGATCTTTTGACTTTCTTGTTCCTCCTACTTTCTTTTTTGCTTTTTCTCCAAAATAATTTTTGTCCACGTGGATGAAGTTTTTAATAGTGAAGAGAAAAAGGATGTCTCTGAAAAAAAAAACAATCAATTTAATCGTGAATCGCGTGAATCATTCGTTCGCGTAAAACGTAATATAACAGCGCAAAACTGTTTTCTCTCGCCCTCAGTGGGCGGATCCTCTCTGGTATAAGCACCGCCCACCCGATATAAAAGTTAATGAAAATTTTGTATTTTTCAAGAAAATTAGCTAAAAAATCTTAATTAATCAGAAAAATGTACTTTAAAAATATTTTAGCAGATTATTGTAGTTTTAAAAAAATTTAAAAATAATAACACTTTGTATGAATGATTGGCTCCACCCATGGCGAGAAAACACCTCCCACATCAAAATTAGCTCGCATTTATGTAGCAAAAAGATAAATATTCTAAGACGGTGATAAGGTGGCAAGTGAGTTCTATGATAAAAGATGATTAAGTGAGGCAGTTGCGTTGATATAAAGTAATAAGACCGCTAAAAAAACCCAATTACGGAAGTTATAGGTAACAAATAATTTTATTCGATAAAATGTCTTAATAAAATGAGTAAGACAACTAATAATGTTATTTATTGCTGTTTCAATTTATAAAAATTTCAATTTATAAAAATTTAAAAAGAAAAAATGAAAAATGGTAAAAAATTCCCCCACTTTCGACATAAATATTTTTATTGTTTGAGAAAAATAAATTTCAAATGAAAAATTTAAAAATAAATAAAAAAAATATAAAAATATCAGCTATCATCTGGTAGCACTTTATCCTATTGTGCTGAACGCTATTCATAGAAAGACTGACATTGTTTCCTCGTGCCGCCGATTAAGCATCAATGAAAAAAATGCGAATAAAATAAGAAGCAATGCAAGGATGACATAGGAAAAATTCACCAGATGATGGCAATAATAGCGATAATCATATTAATAATATATAATTCTAGAAAATATTGACAAATGGTGCTGTAACGCTAAGGTAACAACAGAAGGTGATAATGAAGAAGACAATGATAACTGATAAAAATGACATGGTAATAATAGAAATGGTTTGTAAGACTGCAGCCTTTTTTTCCTTTCTAATAATAATGAATAATGAAAATTTCTCTAGAACGAATGAAATGCTAATCGAATTCACATGAAAAGAAAAATAATAATAATAAAAATAATAATCGATAAATAGTAAAAGGCACCAATCGTTGATTGTTTTTATTGTTATTTTTCCATCGACATCAACATCGTTATCACCGTGTTCAATCTATCAATACGTATGTATATACGTATAGTCCACAACGAAAACAATATAATTCGCTTAAAATAAATGAAAAAATATGAAAATATAAAAATGTAAAAAACAAATAAGGTTCGCGCCCGTCATCCGCACCACTGAGTGCTAACATTCTCGGTGAAAAACTCTTCTGAATTATTTAACGAGTAGAAATAAAGGTACGACGTTTAGCCGGACGTAATATATCCAGCAGCACTGAATTTTGTCGAAGGTGCAAGAATCTGATACTTGACACTCAATAAACAATAATAATGAACAACAAACTACTGTTTCTCGCAAATAAAAATAAATAAACAACACAAATAAATAAAATTAGGAAAAAAAATAAAAATCATATTAGACTGAAATATTTATATTTGTAATAATAATTATTATCGTTATTGAGACTAACTTTATAACTTTATAATAAAAAAATCTATAAAAATTCAAAATTTGAAATAAATATTTAAATAGAATTATATGCAATACAAATGCGAGATTAATCGTTTTATCTGAATCACCGCAGGGATTTTATACGCAAAGAAATTATTAAAAGTGAAATTGTGTTTGGTGTTGGTGACTGAATTTCGACCCTCAAGTGTCCACTGGTGCAACAATCTCTTCTTAGTGATGAATGGTGCTCACGCTGACTGCAGAGGGAAAATGAAAAAAACGAACTAAATTATCTTACTTAAAAAAATTTAAAACGATTAATTTCGTTCATAATACTAATAAAACAAAAAATTTTCTCGGAAATTCAATGAATTCACAGAAAAAATTGCAGATGGAAAATGGAGAAAACTAACTAACTAAACTACCTTATTAAAAAAATTTAACACGATTAATTTCGTTCATAATACCAATAAAAGAAAAAATTTTCTCGAGAATTCTACGAATTCTATCAGAAAAAAATTTAATATTAAAAAATTAAATAACATAAAAGAATATAAACCGAGAATAAATGAAAAATTATGGAATAAAAGATGAAAAAGAGGGAAATTTGGATAGAAAAATACGTGCAAATTTAGGCAGAAAGGGGAAAATGCGAAAAAAGCCAGGATTAGTGTACGAAAAAGCATTTCGTGGCATTGGGCAAGAATGGAATTTTCGAATGGCGATCGCCGAAAAAAAATTGATTGCCTTGTCACAAGGACGATGAAAAATAACAAAAACACACTATTTGCTGCTGCCTGGCTGCTAGTGCCGCCGTTACTGATGCATTTGCTGCATATCATCATCATCGTCATCACATATGAGAAATCGACAACTATAACACCAACTTCCTAGTCTTACATAAAAATGCAACATATATATGCATATAGAACAAGCACAGGGAGCGTCATGAAAAAGAAAGGAATGACCTGAAATTAGCGCTAGGACCCTCGAGTTCCCAAGTCTCCCTTAAGGGATCTGAGGTTGAGAATGAGCAGTGCCCACTTAAAGAGGGTGAGAAATGGAGTTTATGCAGAAATTATAAATAAGCCTGCACGAGGTAATTGTCAAAACTTAAAATGTCAAAAAAATTTCTGCAAATAATTAAATGCGAAAAAAAACAGTCCAGTAATTGCTTTTCGTAAAAATTAATTCCACAGAAAGATGCAAATTTATAAAGCGTACGTGAGGCGTCACGTGGCGTGAAAAGCGTGAAATATTAGTAAAAAAAGAATGAATGGAAATTAGTATGATAAATAAATTTATATCGTGGAATTATCCGAAGGTAATAATAAATAATAAAAGGGGATCGTAATTCCATGATGCAATAAGCAAATATGATGCAACAAAACTACTCAACGAATGTCCATTTACTCTAATTTATATTAATATTAAAAAAACAAGAGAACACCGTCAGAAATTTTTTAATTTTTTCGCAAAAACCACCAAATTGGTTTAAAATGAGATTTGAAATAACGCGCATCAATTAATGCTAATTGCACACTTCTTTGCGCTCTGAGACATCATAAAATCCGAGTGGATACTTCTCACCGTAAGTGAACCTTCGGTGAAAAGGTATCACCAATATAACAAGCACGCCTTGTAATTTAAATTAAACATTAATGATATTTATTTTAGTAATTAAATCGCATTTTATAGAGCATCGCCATTGCATTTCATATATAATAATGTTTATATTTAATAATATAAACAGAAAATCCCTTAAAAAGTTTTAATAATAATAGAGTTCCAAAGAAAAAAGCCTATTTTTTGCAAAAAAAACATTTCGAGAAAAAACCTCGACAAATCCGCGAAAAATTAATTCGCGTAAATGCGCTTTTTTTCAACGAAATAAATAAATAATAAAATTTTTAAAGTTCATTATTGAAATAAAATTTAGTTAATTTAAATGAATTTTAAAAGGAAAATAAACAAAAAACAAATTAAAGCAAAGTAAAAGCAAGTAAATCGATGAAATTTAATTAAAAAAGAATAAATTTTTTCTTCAATCGATAAAAAATTATTAGTATTAAAAGGACAAAAATTAGGACAAAATCCGCGAGACATTACGTAAAGATGCACTTTCATGTTTGTCGTATTTCTGTACTCGAAATGCACGTTTGATATTCATTTCACACGTGGAAACAAAATGGAAATACGTGGAACATGAAGTGAATGTACGCCATTTTCCAAAAAAAAAGCAAAATCGCTACGATTAATTTAACTTTTTTTTCTTTCGATATTGTTGATTGCTGTATAATTAACGAAATTGCGTGCTAAATTTTTTTCTTCGCTTCTACACCACAATTTCACATACCCACGTAAAAAAACACGTAATTGCACGTCAAAACGCGAAATTCTTCAATTTTATTGCGAAATCTTTTTCTCAGTGGGGATTTATTGGAGATTTGCTCCTCTTGCTTGCACTTCTGGCTTGGTTCGAGCGGACGCCAGCATTTCCAAATTCCACAGCTGAAATTATTTACACATTCACAATACCTCTCTGATTTTATTCGTCATAAACCTCGGCATTATTTTTCGTTGCTATTGCATTTCGATTGCAACAAATTCAGCAAATAGTTGGACGTCGACTTAAATTTGCTGAATTTCAATAGAAAACACTATAATAAAAATGCAAATGAACGAGAACAACTGGAAAACGCATTTGGTTTGATGAATGAATGAATGTGAATCGTTCAAAATAAATATGATATATGTATGTATGTACGTAAATAAATGTTCATTCATTCTCATGAGAGATGAAGCAAATAATAAAGTAGCAATGGAGCAAAGCAGTAAGGCAGTAAGTAAGTAAGTAAGTAGGCCGTCTCTTCTTGTTTAAGGAATGCGCACCGATTCTCATCGGTTGGATTCGCTCGGCTGGTTTGTCCGAAGCAAATATTTGTCCAAATATTTGCTAGCAAGCGCTACTCAATAGTGGAAGCATAGCGAGTGGCGGGCATCATTCAGATTCTTCCGCAAAGGAATCCCTTTCCTGCCGGCAGTGGAGCTCCAACGCCTCGAAATAACACCCAACTAGGCACATAAACCAATTCTACTGAAGACATATAAAACACATAACGACTATTAGGAGAATAGGTAAGTTGAAGAACAGGTGACTGACTGATATTCATCGTATCGTCTGCCTTAGGCTGACTTCTAGACTAAAGTTTTTGAAAAACGACAGCTTCTGTTCTAAGATTAATTCTGACTGAATGTGGCCAATTAGATTGAAAGGGTCAAAGGTCGAATAATAAATATATGTGCAACAAAGATAAACAGAACAATAATACCAACAGATGATGAACACAGTAATAATACAGTAACAATTAATGAAGATAAAATAAATTTTTAGGGGAAAATATTATTAAAAATCAATATAGCGAAGGAAAATATTTAACTGTGCAACTTATTTACTTCATTTCCAAATTTGAGGTACGTAAATCTAACGCAAAATACGTGAAAACATCCCAATAGTGTGGACTTACGCCAAAACTCGGCTCAAAGTCCACATTTTATCTAAAAAGTGTTTTTCCCTATTTTTCACTCGTGCAAATCAGTTCAAAATAATTTTTTTTGCTTAAAAACAAAATCATTTCCCACGGGAAAAAAATTATTTAAATATCAAGCAACGATCTTTAAATATTTTTTTGATTGAAAATAAAATTATTTTAGTTCATTATTTATTATGGCTAATATATGTCATTTGTGGTTCGTTTCACTGGCTAGTTAGCGCGGTGAGAAAATATCGCCAATGAAGTCGGTGGCCAGTTGGTTATGAGAAATATGGGACTGCCCGGATTTATAATGAAAAATAGATTTTCAGTCCTGTGGTGTGCAGAATCAGAACTCTTAGGACGAGAATGTGAACCATTAACCACCTACGCTACGCTACCGCCATTTATATTTTCAACTAATTATTCAATTTTATAAAAAAAGCTATAAAAAATTAATGAAATAAAAATGCTTCACAAACTGAAGAATTGCTATTTGCTAAATAAAGATTATTACTCATCAATGATATTAAATAAACGAATAAAAAATATATATAATTTATAATGAAAAAATTTTTTAAATGATACTTGAAAAGTCGGAACAAAAACCTAAAAATTTTAATTCTAAATTTTTATATATATTTATAAATTAATTTCCAGCATGAGTTTAGTTGAGAGTGATAACTAATTGTCGTATTGCGAGGTGAGGGTTCAGTTTTTGCGGAAGCCTGAATATTAAACCACTAAAAAATCCCCATTACCCACTTGCACTTCCATTGTCAGTTAACTTACTGGCAAAAAATTCCTAACCATACTAATGGCCAATGAAGAGAACCTAAACAGAAACTAAGCGCTAATCACTTACCTACTAATATTATTTCTAGAATAAAATTAAAAATTTCACGAATTTTTTCGGGCGAATAATACAAAAATCGGTGTCGTCCATCGCCGTCGTCGCCGTCGTCGTCGTTGTCGTTGATTCGTCGATTGTCATACAACATTTGTAACATATCGAAACAAATTTTGCAACATTTTATAACCTTCTTTTTTTCCGATTCTTTCTTTTCTAAAAAATCGCCAATTTTCGTCGAATTATTTACTATCAATTGACCTAATTTTATAATCTATTTTAGTTAGAAAAACTGGGTAAAACATTATGGTAAATCAACGATATGAAAAAAGAAAAAATAGAACATTTTGCAAATTTAAATTACTCGAAATATTAATAAGATAAAACAAACATTTTTTAATTAATAAAAATCTATTTTTGCGTAGTACTCTTTCACGTAAATGCGATTGCACGTAACTGCCACGTGTGATTCGTACGCGAAAATTTCTTTTTAAACGAATTTTCTGCATTTTTCATCTTAAAGAATGCAAATTTCATCAATTTTTTTTCTTTTCTAAGTTTGCTAAATATTTATTTTTGCCATTTATTTATTATAATTTAATATTATTATTGTTATTAATATAAATAACAAGAAAAGTAAAAAGGCTAAAATAATTCTAATAAAATTCTAAATTTTTCTATCGGAATTTTAAAATGATTTTAATAAAAAACAAAAACGAAATAATTGAAGCACGTATAAACTGTTTTTTGAAGAATTAGATTTTAAAAAAAAATTTATTCTCGACTTTGAAAATCCATGCAACCTAGTCTTTAAAAATTTCGCCTCAGTTTCCAAGACAAAATTCTTGTTTTACAATTTCCAAAGTCTATCTTGAGAGATCGCAGCCTCGAGTTTTTGCAGCCTCTCAAAATGAAGTTCGCGTAGAACTTTACTGACGTTATATGTATATTCGATATCCGTCCTTCCGACCATCCTTCTACCCGTCCTTCGCCCTGTCCGTCCTTCCATCCGTCCATTCATCCACCCACCCATTCGTCCGTCCATCCGTCCAACTAAAAAGCACTCACATTCTAATATGAAAAGAAAAATGAAAAATTAGTTTGGTTTAGTGAAAACGAAAGATCAAAGACGAATAAATAAGTCGAAGAAAAAAAAGAAAAAGAAGAAGAAGAAGAAAGTCGATAAGCAACAACTATTTCTTTTATATATTTGAAAAAGAGAATTTTTCAAAAAATTTAAATTCTCAAAGAACTTTCAAAAAAAAACAAAAAAATTCCAAAGTTTTTAGAATTTCCCAAAAAAATTCATTTTCTTCTGTGATATTTTAATGAAAACTTTATAAATTTAAATAGTTATTTTTATAAAAAAGAAAAATTAAAGTGAAATGAGAGAAGAAATTTGATAAAAATTTATGTGAATAAAAAATCTAAAAATTTATTTATTTAGCTGTTTCTTTTTTTTGTTTTTTTTTTTCATATTTGCAGCTGTTTGATTAATCTAATTGATAATCTTACCACTAATGATAAAATATTTTTACATATTTTATATATTTGACAATCCATATTTTTTTCCAAAAAATTGGGAAGAAACAAATGAAAATCGAAAAAACTTAAACAAATAATGAAAGAAAGAAAGTCTTTCTCTTTTCTTCTTCTAAACACTTATCAGTGGTTCCTGATTTGGTTCATCTCACAAGCAACTAAGGTGGGAATGGGGAGGGGGTGCCTTTTATTACTTGGGAAGTCACTTGGGGATAGAAATACAAATGAATGGATTTGTCCAGAAACGAATATATATTTTTTTGCTGATTTTGCTATTTTTTATAGCATTTTAAAGTAATATTTGAAGAAAAACAATAATTAAAATAAATTAAATTGAAAACGCAAAAGGTTTAAGAAATTTTGAAATTTTATTGCAAAAAATGCGATTTAAACAAATAAAATAATTTAATTTTGTGCAATGTGCACAAATTAAATATATTGTGAAATGATTGAAATACTGAATTAACCAATAACGTGAACAATATAAATCATATACACGTATTCACGTAAAATGACGTGCACTTTCACGTAGCAATAACAAAAATGAATAATGAAGAAGAAAAGCGTTTAAGATCGCTAAAAATTTACCGGAAACCACTGATTGCAAACTACAAAAAAAAAGTGGAAAATAAAGACAAGAAACTTGTTTCGATGAATGAATGCACCATCATCACTTTCATTTAAATCATAACTTGCAACTGAAAAATCCGTACAATCTTAATTCGCATTAATAACTCGTACGGGTCACTTGTGGGTCGCTTACGGGCCGTTTGATCCATTTTTTATTTGCATCAAAAGCCCATTAATTAATTAATCAATTTTCTTAATATTTTTTGTTTTCAACAAAACCAAATCGGTGAATTCGATTTTAAAAAATCGCTATCAGAAGAGGATTTACGAAAAAATATTTAATAGGTTAAAAAAAGTTCGAAACGAAAACTGAAACGAATTTTGCGAAGGCTAAAAAAGGTAATGGATAGGAATTTGGGTCAAATACGATAGAGTGGCGCTTAGAGAAAGGTCACGTAGGGTCACGTGACGCAACGCGACGCCGTAGTCTGCAAATTAAGAGGAATAGAACGAGAAAGTTATTAGTAGCAAGTAGCATAAACTGCTCGGACAACATTTTAATAGTTATTGGACAAGCTGGACGAAATATGACAGAATTTTGAGAGAAGACAGAGATATATAATATTTTCTGAGAAAGAAAATAGTCAAAAAACAAACAAAAAAAAGATAGTGGAGAGAGTACGCAAAATGACGAAACGAAAATTCAGTTAGAGATATGAGAAGAAAAAGAAATGAGAAGCATAATTTGATAAAACAAGAGTTGGAGAGATACATAGAAAAATAAAAATAAATTCGTAAAATCGACCAAAGACCAAATTTTTGGCCATCTCTCGGGAATAATGGCAAAAGAACAATTTTTACGCCATGTCTAATGCAATTAATTATTAATGGAGGGGGAGAGGGCGGGGGAGGGAAGAGAGGTCTGGATGGTTGAGTGGGGGGGGGGGGGTTGATGAAACAGGTAAGTGGGATGGATGGGTCGGCGAGGTTGGCAGGATAGAGGAGGGTGTTGGACAGAGTACATAAGATGAATGGACGAACTGCATAAACAGTTTGGACATGGTGAATGCACTGAGAATGAGAGGACATATTTTATGCAAAAAATTGAATAACCAATAAAATCGAAATTTAATTATTTGTATTCATCAGTTTTCTAATGGAGAGTGGTTGATACTTTGACTAAGGCCATGCATTATAGTCGTCACCTCCGGTGAAATGGCCCCAGTTTAGTGGTTAGTGGTACCATTTAAAGCAGAAATGAGAATTTGTGCGTCGGTTAATGGAAGATTTATTATTTAGAATAAGACGAAAAATAAAATGAGCAGTGATAATAATAATATTGGTGACATTTGGTGTTAATTGATTTAGCATTTGTGTCATAAAAGCCATTGTTAAGCGAAAATAAAATAAAATTGTGATGCTAAACGATGATTTGTCACCAGCCGACGACACAATTTTATTTTTCTGCTAACAGTTTATTGTTTGAAAAAAGAAGAGAAAAAAATTTTGCTTCGTAGAATTTATACGGATTTCTAGATCAAAGAGAAATTCACTAGCCGTGGATGGTGCAGACTGTCCTCGACTTCTGCTCGAGACCAGGGGGCTAAGAATCCGACTTCGCCCGCAGTGTGTTGTGCATCCTTCTGCGTAGAGAACTGTTGTTCCTGGAATTCCTTTTTGAAGCCATTTTTCTAGTTCAGGGGTCACGAATGCTTCACTTCGCCACCACTTAGGCTTAGGCTCGGTCTTCACTTCACACATCTCTTCCACCCCTTGCATTTCTTTAGCCTCTCACATTCCTTCTTCTTAATGTTTCGGTCATCTATGCTGCTAACTTTTTATAGTTGTTTTCTCTAAAAAACAATACGATCTCTTTTCCAAATTTAACAACAAATTACCGTAGAAAGAAATTATAAGATTTTTGCGATAATTTTGTTCAAACAAGTTTTTTTAGATATTTTAATTTACAAATTTAAATTAGTTATTACATTATTATTCATTGCTCATCGTTATTATTTTTATTAATATTAATATAAAACTGAAAATTTTAGGCAAATATTTAGAAATAAATTATCATTTTGAGCCATAAGGACAAAATGTTATCGTAGGAAAATAAACTAAGGAAACATCATCGAGGAAGACAAAAATCTCACTAAACTACAAGTGCAGATGTTTTTAATGCGACAACTGGTTCGACAATGTGAACAAGGGCACGCATTCTTATATTCGCATAAATGCATAAATACTTTTGCCGATCTATTAATCTATTGACCTATCGGTCTGTTGATCTGTTTCTTCTTTTATAAAAAGCGGGTCATAAATAAAATTTTAATAAATGCCAAATTTAAAACGAAGTATTTGTACTTGTATATGCTTAAAATATATTTAAAATTTTAAATTTTATACAACAAACATTTAGTTAAGAACTTTCTATTGCATAGTCTATAGTCTTAGACTATTAAAACGAGTAGACAGAAACGAAAAGGTCAAAAAGACATGCAAAAACTGAGGAAAGGCGTACTACATAGACAATGAATTCGAGCAGCATGGTTCGGTTCCAAGGACGCAAAGAAAATTTGCTAAATCAGAAGTTCCTAAGGACTCACTACCTATCCCCAAATTTTCTGACCAAAAATAATCGCACCGTAGAAGTTAACGAAAAATGTTAAGGCGAAAAAATCATTATAATGATGGTGATAAGGAGTGATAATGGTGTAATTTAGTGCATAAAGTCACAAATTCACTGGTCGAGTTGCACTCAACAAGATTTCATTTAGCGCTACTCACTACAAGTATTTGGACAAAAAACGATGGGTACGCACTCATACAGGAACAATCAACCTATGACGTTTGAATATGAGTGTATGCATGTGTGTCTATGCATGTGTGCATGTATGTGCATGTGTATGTGTGTGTGTGTATGTGTTGTATGCGTATGTTATATGTGTGTCAGTAGATTGATACAAACGATAGGAACAATTTAAAATGTTTCTTTTTTCTCTTTGTATCCACTAAAATTTTTGATTAATCGACACATTTGTTAGTTGAATCCATTTTACTATTTTGTTGCAAAACTGGAAATTTTTCGATACGAAAAGAAGAGAAATTTTTTAACTTAGAATTTCGCGAGTGATTTCGTGGATTTCCAGCAGTTATTCGATGAATTTTGTAACCGAAACTTTAATAGAAAGCTTAAAGCCAAACAGCGTTGTGTGTGCCAAGTGGGTGCTAGGCTAGCCGAGTGGGTCCTAAACCCGGCAAGGACATCGCTGCCGACCCATGCGACCCGCTTCCATCGCCGAGCAATATTTTCTAGTAACGGGTCACTTCGAAAGCAGACTCAGTACGATTTAAAAGCGAAAAGTTGTAGGTGCTCCGAACAGCCCACTCAGCCCTTCCATTCCATTTCGCCATCGCACTTCTACGGCATTGTCGTCTAAGAAACGTGATGGGTCGACTGGACCATCCTTGGCCCTCGGCTACACTCATCTTTGGCCACTAAGCCATTTAATAATATTGATTTTTAATATTAAAGCGAATATTTCGAATGAATGAATAAGAATTAATAAAAAGTTTTAAGCATTTTAACTCATCAGCGACAAATTTCTCGCATCTGAAGAGGTTTGAGAAGGGAATGTAAAAGTATTATCCAAGAAAGTATTAATGGAATAGCTTCCATCATAACTGGTTAGGCCGTCTGCGCTGGCAATGCATCTCCAAGCTGCCTGACGCCATTCCCAAGCAGAAGCCAACTGTTTAAGTTCGTCTTACATCGCTGGTCCCTTTACTCGTTCAAAATCTTTCCCGGCTCTATCAGTCCACGTCTTGATTGGTCCTCCTCGCTTTTGACGCCACACAGCGTTCAGCAACTGACGAAATATATTTATTGGAGGAGCATGATGCGCTTTTGGAAGATATTAAGACGGGGCATATCGAAGAAAATATAACGGGTTTTGAAGTAAAAAGGAGGCACTATAATCGTTCATTTACTTATAGAAATGCTCAATTATAACTGATATTTCAATATTTCTAGTTTTTCTCTTTTTTCCTTCTTTCTTCAGCTGCATTTTTCATTTTCTACTTTAGATTAAATTAGCAGTTCCTTTTATAAAAGCATTTCTTACGTATCTATTGTATTGTACTGGAGATTAATTATTTCCGCTAGTTGTCGATGAACTCAAAGAAAAGTGATTGTCATCGCCATCAACATCCGCACTAACCAATATCTACAGCTGCACCAACATCAGTATCCACACCAACACCTATATCGGCACCAACACCGACATCCACACCAACACCTGTATCGGCACCAACACCAACATCCACACCAACACTTGTATCGGCACCAACACCAACATCCACATCAACACTTGTATCGGCACCAACACCAATATCCACACCAACACCATAAACCACGAAAAAGGCAAATTTGAAACACCGAATCTATTTTTACTTTTAGCTTATTTATTATTTGCAAAAGATTTAAGTACTTTTTTTTGAAACAATTTTTTAACAAATTTTTTAAAACGAAAACTTTTATTATTTTCTATTTTTCTATTTGTCATTTTCTTCAATTCAACAATTAAGCTATTTGAAAAGAAAATTTCGGTAAATATTTATTTAATTTTTGTCTCAAAAATGTTTTTTTTGTTTAGTTTTGATGGTTCGCATCGTAAAAGAAAATCCCCACTCAAAAAATTTTTCACTAAATTTTCTATTTGATATAATTTTGGGAAAGGATGGCCGAGTGGTTTGGATAATTGCAACGGCTAACCGTGTGAAGAGGCTCCGACATGAGATAACTTTTTTCCTGGCGGCTCATCTGTGTTTCTGTTGTCTTCTGGCAAAAATTTACTGATAGCCAGTGGAACTAGCAAAACCATAAATGATAGATGAGCTCTGTGTTGTTCCTTTCGCATTTAAACTGAATCTAATGTTTATTTTTATTATAAAAATCTTATTGCTTAATTGATGTTCGCTTTAAATTCGAGATAACTCGTAATTATTTCCTAAAATATTTTTTAAAATTCTATAAAACTGCAAATTTATTTTTAGTTTCTTGTTAATTTTCTCAATTATAATTATTATAAATTATTGTTAATAATTAACGATGATTACTATTGACCATTATTATTTATTTTTTTGTTGCTATATAATTATTATTATTTATGAATTTTCCGGCTAATACAAAAATTTATTCATTATTCATTTATTCATTTTCTTTGTTAAAAATTATTTACTTGGATGAAAAAAAATTGCTGAAATAATGGTAGCAGTGATATCAATGATTTTAATATCTATTTGTGATAATAATTTTTATTATTATTTATAATAATATTAATGAAAATAACATACAATAGCGTAGTAAAATATTAGAGAAAATGTTAATGCAATTTTTATCCATTTTTTGTTTTTAAAATATTTTAAGGTTTTAAATTATCGAAAATTTGTATATTTACAAATCTTAAAGAAAGCACATTAAAACATTTAAGGAATTTTAAGGAAATTTCAATAAAATGTTTTGTGCAAAATTGTAAAAAAAATGATTAACGATATTTTTTGTGTATTTTCAGGCTGAATGCACAGTAAGGCTTAAGGTAAGTATTATAAGTAAAGCTCGAATTCTTTGCATTCATCCAGAAAACAATAAATTAATTAAGGTTGGCGAGTAATAAACGATAATGAGGTGAAGCGGAAACTAAAAGAAAGCATCTATTAAATAATTTGTTTTGTAGTTCATATTGACTTGTTTTACGAAGGGTACATAAAAATAAAATAACAATGCAAATAAAAAATAATATGATATTTTATTATGATATTTATATAAATAATGTGATATTTGTGAAATAACGTGATATTTTAATATAGGGATAAATAAGGCCTTTTGGGCACAAATTAATAAGCCATAGGCCAATTTTTATGCCATCGACCTATAATCCACGGAAAAAACTGGAAAATCATCAAAGAGAGCTATTGAAAACGAATTTTTTCCTCAAATTTTTTAAAATACAAAATCCGTTGAAAGTGCCAAACTATTCATTATTTATAAGACTTAAAATCAGTTCAAATCCGCAAAAAAATCTGATTCATTTGCCAAGAAAAAATGAAATTTTAGAAAAAAAATGGGGAAAGCAGAATTGTTCGCAAAATTTTTATAAATTTCTCTTCTAATATTTCACTTTTAAAGTTACAAATGTATTTTCAAGAAAAATAAGAATAAAAACAGTCCATTTCTTTTTTTCTTAAGTCTTAGTGAAATTTGGATATTTTTCTTTTAATAATATCCATCAATCATATCTAATTTGGCTATTAGGCTTCACCATTAGGATTAATCGTTATGCAATCACATGAAAGCTATAGAAAGATATATATACATATATGTATATAAGAAGCAGCAACTTATGGATTCTACCGGTAATTTACTCTCGATGATCGAGATGAATCCAGACAAATCTATGACAAAATCAATTGAAGCAAGGTTCGATCATGTCCTTTCTTTTGCTTCAGTCACTTTATTATCAGTTGATCAGCCCATAAACTTTTCATCCATAAAAAAACATTAAAACCAGGATAGTGATGATGGCGACTCCCGTCTGCGATAGTAGCCTTAACACGATAATCTGAACTCGGCTACCCTATCCACATTTTAAAGAACGAAAGAAAATCGATGTTTTTTTTTCAATATGATATTTATTAAAAATGTTATTGCAAAGAATTGCGGAATCTCTTCTTGCAAAAAAACTTTCATCAAACCAATAAGCAAGAAAGCAGATTTTTGATCAACTTAAGTTCAAATAAATTTTTTATTTTTTAATTTTTCAGTGATAAAAATGAGAAATAAAAATTTATTCTTCTTTAAATAAATAATTCTAACAAAAGTAGAATATTTTTTTTAATGGGAGATAGAGGGAAGGGGCGAGGAAACGATAAAAATTAATTTTCCATTTCATATGGGCGAGTGGTATATGGACTTGGCTAGTGCTAAGCATTATGAATTCGATTCTTGCCTCTTGCCTCTTAAATAACCAGGCGTATAATAACCAGGTTAAAAGGGAAATCCAGATGACCCACACCTACTTCTATCACCATATAACTCTCTTCTCAAGCGGTCTTATCCTAGCCAGTGGAAACAACTAAATTAAAAATGGTGAATGATGTTAAGAGAATAAGAAAATGCTATTAATATCGAAATAAATTTATGAAATTAGTAAAACAAACTTTTCCTAAAAAATAAAAAAATTTAATATGGTGATAAAAATAATAATTCAAAATATTCGTTCATCACTTCAAGAGTGAAAATAAATAAAATGCCACATGATAAGGGGCAAAAAATTGGTATTTCGAATGTCTTTTCACTTTAAACACCACTCACCATTTCTCGTCCGACTGCCTCCACCAACTAAGAGGACCATTGACTACTAGGACCAGAGAAGTGTTTGGTGACAGAAAATAGCCCTTTAACCAGATCAACCACATAAAACTAAAATCCAAAGTAACTAAAAAATCTTGACGTAAATTTCGATAATTAATTGGGGAAAAAATATAATAAAATATAATAGAAATAACGCAAAATTCACATCAGACCTTCAATTTGTTTGCCGGAAACTTAATCAAGTCTGCTCTCACCAGTTTTGTACCATCGTTTAATGATAATACATCAAGATTCGACCAATTTATGTTCTACTTCTGCAAAATAAAAAAAATCTATTTCAAATCAAAATTTGGCTGAAAATTTTAAGCAACTTCATAAATGTAATTCCACTTGATTTCGCGCTGACCTTTCAACCTTGACGAGCAAAAAAAAGTTGGTTTTATTTTATTTTATTCGTTCTTGATTCAATTGAAGTTCAAAATACTCCTTTATTTTCTAATAGCAAATTAATTTTTTTTAATGCATTAAGGATTTGTCGATGAGAATTGTTATATTTAGTACGAATTTTTCGGAAAATTATTTTCTGCTATTATCTTCATAGCAAATTAAAAGATTTTTGCCAAATTAAACAAATGCAATACAACGCCACGCATGCATGTATTTGCTTGCAAGTTTGCATGCATTCTAAAGAAAGCAAGGAAGACTTTATTTGATCCATTAAAATACACTGAAATAAATGATTTTTATCGCCTTTTTTTACGAAAATTTGAAATTTGAAACGAAGAAAAGAAATATTTGAGAAATACATTCAAAAAATAAATAATGAATCAAAGTAAATATAAATAAAATAAATAATAGCGAAATAATTTTTTGAAAAAAAAGTAAAAATTTTTTTCCTCAAATCAAATCAAATAAATTAGCAACGCAAGCAAACGAGACAACAACCGATCAAATAACAGTAATTATTAATAATAATAAATAATAATAATGATAGTAATAATAATGATAATGATAATAAGTGATTATCGAATTTTTCAAAAAAAAAGCACAATTCAATTCGCGATTGTTATTATTTGATAAAGGGGGAAAAAATTTTTTCTTTTCTTTTTTAAAAATGAGAAAAGCGACGAATGAATTATAAAAAATTCGAAGAAAAAAATAGAAAGGAAAGAAAAGTTAAATAATAAAAAAATATTTATTTAAAATAAGGAGCTAGGTGGGGATGGGGGTGGGAACTCCTCAGATAACCTTTAGGACCGGTCGGACAGTGTCTCATACCATCATAATTGTAATTAGTCACCGTGGTCGTTGTTACCATAATCATTGTCGTTTTTGGTCCGTCGCCTTTTTTTAGTCAACGAATGGCATTTCATCATTTAGTTGAGTAGTATTATGCAAGTTTTACGATAAATGTTGAATTTTGCGAATTATTTGAGGGGGCGCAACTGTTTACATAGTGATTCTTCCTATTCGATACAAAATAGAAAATGAGAATATTCATTTTTACTTGCCACCAAAAATATAAATTTAATTTTACATTCATCCATTTTATAAATCAAACAAAAAATTTTTAAATTTTTTAAAATTATCATCAATGACCTTTGATAATAAAGGTCAAAAAGCAGTTTTTATTGTTTTTATTTTATAAATTCAAATTTAAAAATTTTAACGTTTTTAATGATAAAATTTAAAATACAAATAATGAAAATCAATGGGTTTGAATGAAAAAATAATTGTAACCAAAGAAATAAAAATATATCCATTACTTTCACAATTATTTTTAAAAAATTATTTAGAAAGTGCTAATTTTGAATTTATTAGAGGCACTATAATCGATCGGTTATTAGCTTATATTATGGTGTGACAAGTCAGTGAACTGGATTGTGCTCCTATCAGAAGTAAACAAAAATCTAGGTGGTCACCCATTTGTGCTTCTATCACACCTTGGCAATTTCTAGCCGTAGAGCAGGCAAACCAGAAATGATGAGCTTTAACCATTTACTTTACTCAACTTCAAATTTGAATTATAAACGATTCAGCAAAATAAAGGATGAGTTTCATCGAGGTATATATTTTAATCGTAATTGCCTGAGAATTCCACCTCCGTGAATTGGAAATTTTTTCAAAGATCAATGAATAAATAAATATCAGAAAAATTATCAGTAATCGTATGAAATTAACCATTTTGGTGATATGCGACATTCTGTAAAACATATAAATATATCGGATCATTCATATAGTAAATATAAATATAAATAGAAAGCAAACATAAATTAAGAAGAAGAATTTGTACCAATCAAAGGGTCAAAGCTTTAATGAACAGAAAATAGGGAAATTCACAAAGTGCAATAATATTTGTACTGAACTCTTTCTTATTGTAAGAAGAGTATAATATTTCACTATATTAAGGAAAATTCACAGTGATCTTTTAAAATGGAATTATTTTAAAGAATAAAAACTGCAAATGTTCGTTTGTTCGTTCGTCTGATAACAAAAAATAAAAAATAAAATTTCTTTTCCTATTGCTGACTTAATGAAATTTTTTTTTCTGCTCTTTCTATAGAAGATAATTTTCTATGGGATACTAATGCGCAAAATCCAATTATTATCCTCAATAAATGATTTAATATTATTAATATTATTAGTAATATTGTTGATACTATTATTATAATTATTTTAATAAGAATCGTTACAAAAGCGATGGATTGATGTGATTTATATCAATCGACAGACCAAGCAATGCTCATCAATGAACC